CAAACATGTATATGCACAAACTTACATACATAAATATATCTAAGCAAGTAATATTTGTATGGCTGCGTGATGACGTCACGCCTGGCCACAATTGCTGCAATTGACGTTTCCAGAAGTCAAAAGGAATATAGTTCACTCACTTCTGCACCAGCTCCAGGTGCATTTATACTCTTATGCATTTTCTGCTTAGAGCCGTTGGTTTAACAGTTTGCTCTTCCACAACTTTAGCGACTGTTAAGGATAACACTGCAGTGGCTGCCGCTGCATTTTTGCTGCTCAGTGCATTCTCGCGAGTTTTCTCTTTGATATGCAGCACAATCTTGTTCAGACAACTGTAGGCTTGCCATATATAAATTTATGATTTACCGTTAAATATTCGATTTGAAAAATACGTTGGGATTGACGAAAAATCATCTACTATGAACTTTTCTCCTATGTTCAAACTCTTAATACGTACCTATACTGTCAACCATTAGAACGCCTAAAGGAGTAAATCGCAATTCCGGTGATCACGGATTTTGATTGGCCCACATGTTGGTGGTCGTTCATACCCTCACAACCACTTTGAAAACGTTGAAACCATTCGTGTACTATGCTCCGGCAATCATCGCCATAAACTTGTTTTTCTATTGAAACATTTCGGTAAAAGTTTTACCAATTTTAAAAACAAAATTTAGTGTTGGCTCTTTGTTTGAAGCTCATTTTCGCAATGAAAACACAAACATACTGACACTTGAAACGCAATAACTTCACTTCCAAATCAATGAAATGTCATGAAATTCTCACTGAACAATCGATAAAAATAGCAGATTCTAACGCACCAGTCGACATATACATAGATGGCGGGACCAGGGGGCGCTAGATTCAAAAATTCCTGTTTACTTTGGAACACAGCTTGTATGACGCCAGGAATACGAAGTCCACCCGCACACATCAATAGGGAGGGACTCGCCAGGAGCTCCGGAGGCTGTAAACCAGCAGTTCATAGATTTTTGACATTCCACAGCGAACTCAAGATGCATATCTTCCTCAAATAAGACGTATTTCGGAGAACTACATACCTCTGCCGCGAACTTGGTCGTAGTCGGGCAGTCTGAAGTAAGAATTTATTGACTAAATCTTTGATTGAGCTTCGATCCATCCACGAAGGTCATACACATCAATAGGGACTCCCCAGAACATCCGAGGGCTAAGAGTTAGCAGTTCAATAGACATTTTCCACTCCACACTTTGCCCGAAAGCATTCGCAACCCTACAAGTGCTTGTGGAGCTTGCAAAAAACCCATGGATCCAACACCCGTATGTATGCCTGTTCCGGTTCTTTCACTTCCTGATGGCAATTTCGTTTGGCTGATTTTTCTTGCACCTCGTCGACTTTAAACTTTCCAATGATTCCTCTGTGGCCTGGTAAGACAAGTTTAATATGGAATTAGTTTGATACTATTGCAAGTGAGGTCATGCAGTCCTGACTACCTTTCCGTTCATAGTAAGCGAACTCAAGTGAAACTAAAATAAGCCGTTTTTCGAAAAATTACATTTGTTGCGAACTTGATGGCTGCTACTTCTGAAAAGAAAGACGTGACACTGCTTGAAAGACGGGCACTAATATTCCCCTTGAGCGGCGATCAAACCTCAAGAGCCATCCACATCGACAGTGATAAGCCAGAAGCTGCGGAAGCTTAGTAAAATGTCCTTATGCCTCCAACTTTTAGTCCGGACCTGACACCAAATGAATAATATATGTTCCTGTTGTTGTAGCGGCCAAATTTGCCGAATTGACAGTCCTTGGCCCGTTCCTGTTACGTAGTCGTGGGAACGGATTCCTGCCAATGTCGAACGATTTTGCTGTTAAACAATTCGCCACAAGAGAATCTTATGGAAATTGACTGTCCCACTTATTTGTCAATAGAAGCGAGGGTTTGTTAGCCAGTTACCCGTACATATTCGGATCATTCGAACTATATTAAATGCTCGTTGCAGTTTTTGATACTTTTTGCGACATTTTTCTTGTAATATTGTCGAAACAGTCTTTTTTTGGCATCTCTATTCTCACTCTCTCAATTTTTTACAGTGCCTTTCTGAAAACTAATGCACTCAACAGACGCTGCTCACCAACCACTAGCAACAGCTTAAGGCAGCATGTTCTCTTCAACTATTAACTAACATAGCGCAACTTCAATTACGACACAGCTTGAGGCCAGCGATCCCTAACATAATTTTACCGCACCTTAACCCCCTCCAACACACCTTCTAACAGCCTCCCGCAAAGTGTCGGTATTCGCAATCGTGCTTTGTAAACGCCCGCTGATAGAAATCAAACACCCCTCGACAGCTCGCCAGTTGGGTCAATGAACCAGGTAGCTGCCAATGCACTGAATGAATGTTTGCACTTTTTAATGCGGGCGTTACCGTTAGCTATTCACATGCCGTTGTTTTGGTTTTCATTATTTCACTTTTATTTATTTTTTGTTGTTTTACAGCTGGCATTTTCAATGCTTTCAACACCCTCTCATACATGTTTGTACATGAATTCGCATGAATGCTTGCTTATTCATGCGAGTATGTGTAAAAGTGTTTGGATGTATTTATGTGAATTTGCAGAATGGTGCCACACCGACTTTTTGTTGTCACCTCTGACAGAGTCACGATTTTTGTGTCTTGGGGTGAAGGCGTGCGGTTGTAATGTGTGCGCACAAGGGTTAAATAGTTCATTGCTTTATGTTGGTTTTGTATTGGCTTTGTGTTTGTTTGATTCGATGGGATTTTTAAATACCATTAAATAATTATGATGCATAATCGAATTTTTGTGAGAAAAAACTGCAATATAAATTTTTTTTTATTTCAATTAAAGAGAAGCAGAGGAGATTAAAAAGAGGTTTGTAATTGTTAGTCCAAGTACTTAATGAAGCTAGTGCATGCATGATGGTTGACAGTGCATATGAACTAAATCATGAATTAACTTTAGTTTTTTAAAGGGTTACCGTTACTTTGGCGTCGCTTAAGCTGATTGATCGGTCAAAACGACGAACCGCACTTTGAAATTTTTGTCCGTTCTTATAGGCCCTTAGCAGAGGTGGTTTTCTTGAGATCAACTTCTTGCAAATTGAAGTCGTTAGTAAAGTGCCTAACATACATACATATGTACGTACACATAATGAAATTCACACACATCCATTTCTATGAAAGCAGCCCAGCAGGAAATGCTTTACTATACTCCTTAACTGGACGTATGCCGACCTCACTGTGCAAATGTTCAACTGGAGACATGAAGAGGCATCGCGTTGTAGTGCAGAGTTTTTTTTTTTTTTTTTTTTGTTTTAGTAAGGGGCAGCAGCGATAGCCGGAGTACGGAATTTTAATCTGCTAAACCTATCCTACTCTCAACTCAAGGCTCTCCCGCGGAACCACCGGCTAGGTGTTACTACCTGGAAGGGATAAGACATTTAAATCTCCTCTATTGCGCAGATTGACGGACGAGAGCGTACTGTTATATGTCTGTATTGGTGCGGCGTAGTTAAGAACCGAGGGACCGATTGCCTTGTATGTTACCAACAACGTTTCTTTGTCTTTTCCCCATGTGCTGCCGGCCAGCGACTTGAGAATTTTATTGCGGCTCTGTATTTTGACAATAATCGCGGTCGTGTGAGGAGTGCAGGAGTACAGGCTGCGGAATGTCATACCTAAAATCTTAGGGTTATTGATAGTCGGTGCAGTTTGTGAATATGGTCACAGTGGATTTAGTGGGGGAGAGTGTTAGGATCCGTTAAACAGCAACGGAGAGAGGACACCTCCCTGCGGAATCCCCAGTTTAATTCTCCTTAATTTATAGTTTTTGCCTCGAAACAGTACGGATGATTGTCGACCGCTCAGGTAGTTCACAGTCCACCTCTACCGTCCTGGAGGGAGCGCAGATTTTTCGATATCCTCAAGTAGCGTTCTGTGATTGACTATGGCAAAGGCTTTTGACAAGTCCAACGCTACGAAGATCGTCCTCTCGCATGGTGGTTTTTGGTTAACGTCGTGAACTATTTGGCCATTTATGACGCTAAGTGTTATAATAGTGCTGTGCACTTTTCGTTGGTGGTTTGCTATGCTCAAGTGGTATGTGAAGATCGGGTTAGTAACCCGTTCCCACGACAGTCGGGTCTACGAAAACCGGAACGGACGCGGATTTTTATCCGGCCAAGGACTGTCAACTCGGCAGAATTCTGCCGTTACAACAACAACAACATCGGGGGAGTAGCAATTCTTCAAGTGTATTCACTATTAGTGAGAGGAGAGTTATCGGATGATAGGACTCCCCTTTGTTGACTGATTTTCCAGGTTTCAGTACTGCGACCACTCGTCTCATTTTTCGATCAGAATGAGAGTAATACTGCCTGTTTGCGCTTCTATGAACCGTATGGGTCCTCAGTTGGCTACTCGGGTGTAGTGGCGGCACAGTATACGAACTAGGTGTCGCTACTCATTTGTCGGCACCGCCGATATCGAACGAATATAAAATATTATTGGCGCTATACAAACTAAACGGTCGGAATCCTTTGAGGACGCCTCTTTACGAAATTTGGCAGTTGTTTATTTATTAGTATAAATATAAAAAAAAATAAGTTGAAGTTTGATTAGAAATACGAAAAGACTTTTTCGACTACCCAATATTAATCCAAAGCTGAATTAAGTAGAAAAATCATGTTAAATAATGATTATTTATATTTATTCATAGCAAGTTTATTACTATATATGTATATATTCTTTTAATTATACTATTACATTTGCAGTTTTGTCATACTAATTTTTTTGTTGTTTTTATTTATTTTATTATTTTAATTTTTTTTTATTATTTTTATTTTTACTATCAATTTTCATTAGGTATATATTTTTCTACATATAATTTATTTTATATTATACTATTTTCGTGCTCATATACTGTAAAATGCCGTTATTTTCTTTTCTTTTGGCCTTTTGGCAATTAGAGAGTATTCCCCACTGTTTTTTCACTTTAATTTTTTATTTTGTTTATTTTTTCCTTTATTTTATTTGTTCTCTTAGTGGGTGTATACAAGATAAACATTTATGGCTTTGCGATTTATCGCTTCTACACATTCTACTTAGACAGCTCCTAGGTAATTGAGGTTGCTTATGAGACTTTTGCTTTCATTTAGATTTTAGAGTTTGGCAATGGTTGCAATTAAATCAATTTAATTATAAATAAAATCATGTTTTAAGTATACATGTACATATGTGTATATAAATAAAATAATAAATAGTTGGCACTGTTGGAACAAGTTCTTTGTTTTAAGCTATTTTAAACACTTTAGGAAAACAAAATAAAAATTGAAACCATGTTTTGCCTACTCAAGGCAAGAAAAATACTTACAAAATACTACATGAGCTCTTTTCGCGAAATGGATTCACTTTTTGGCTGGAGAATCCATTTAGCAGGCAATCCTCACTTTCATGCTCCAGCATGTATTTCATCATCAGCTGACATGCCTGTGACACCTGTATGCGCGGTATATTCGCCTCGCGTCGCAGCTGTTCGTTAATGATGCGCTGCTGTTGTAGGTTAGCAGCCATAATGTCCAGTACGGCAGTCTCGGCGAGCCCTATGTTGCTGACGCTGTTGAAAGATGTAGTTTAAAGGTATTTGATTGGTTCTTGCTGATTTTGTTCTTGGGGCTGGATTTTGTGACAGACACACGTGCGTCAAAAATCCGGATAAAAACGGGTGCGTGTGTGTGTACAATTTGCAGATGAATTTTCTCACCAGGTTTCAACAAAAATGTAGGGTTGGGGGTTGGGAGGTTTTCAGCCGTGGGGTATGCTTCTGTCTTCAAATATGTTTATCTGGCACTAATTTCGCATCTTATCTAGAAATATATGTGTATATTCAATGCAGTTATATTCTCTGTATGATTATTTAGTTAACTTACAAGCAAAAAGGTTTGTAGGATTGTGATGTATACGACGGCTGGTTTTGTTATGCTCACATATTGCGAGCACTGATAAGAAGATTCTCAAAATCAATACTTTCTACGTCTCGCTAATATACGGTAGGTGGTGCTTTAATTGCTATTCATTTTTGGATCGGTCCAATATAGCACTATATTTAGGTGATTTTAAAAAATAAACGAAAATAGTTCAATTTAAAGCTAATGTACGTATTTAATAAATCACACACACATATTTTTAATAATTTATTTATAATTTTATTAATTTAATTTATTTATTTTAACACTTTCTGAATATTTTGTCAGTTCATAATCGAGAATATTCTTGCTTTCATTCACAATAGTCTGTACGTCTATTTTGAACGTTCATTCTTGGCAGTCATCCGTCATTTGAGGCGTGTGTGAGGTTAAAATCAGCAATTTCTTTCATTCCGTTTATATCTAAGCATTGTGTTTCCCAAAAAAATCTGTGAGCAAAAATGGCTTTATCTGTACCAAAAGCACCAGGAGTAGCGCAAATGCTAAAGGATGGCGCACGGGTGAGTGAAATATGCCAACCAAGTGAATATTTTATTCAAAATTGTGCCATACAAGCGAAATAAATGCAAAAAAGAAACAGCGTGCGGCGTTTTCAACACAGCTGGCTGCGTCTATACATTAGTCACCAAAGCGTGTGATGCCTATATTAATTTAAAATATGAACAAAATTTTATAACTTATGCTAATTATCGTATGTATTATTTTTTATAGATGTATAGTGGTTTGGAGGAGGCCGTTTACCGTAATATCACCGCCTGCAAAGAATTCGCGCAGACAATGCGTTCCGCTTATGGTCCCAATGGCATGAATAAAATGGTCATAAATCACATTGAAAAACAATTTGTAACAAGTGATGCTGGTACCATTATGCAGGAATTGGATGTGGAACATCCAGCTGCCAAACTTATGGTTATGGGCAGTCAAATGCAGGATGCTGAGGTTGGTGACGGTACCAATTTCGTTGTTATCTTTGCGGGAGCATTGCTCGAAGCTGCCGAGGAATTGTTACGTTTAGGTATCACTACCTCTGAAATTGCTGATGGTTATGAAAAAGCTTTGGAGAAGGCATTGGAAATTCTGCCTAAACTTGTCTGTCATGAAATCGAGGACTATCGTGATATCAACAAAGTTATTGAGTGCCTTAATGCCGCCATCATGTCAAAACAATACGGCCAAGAAGATTTCCTGACCGAATTGGTAGCAAAAGCATGTGTTGCCATATTGCCCGACGAAGGCACATTCAACGTAGACAACATACGTGTCTGTAAAATTCTGGGCAGTGGTTTAGGCAAATCCGAAGTTGTGCACGGTATGGTTTTTAAGCGTTTTGTTGAAGGTGACGTAACGTCAGCAGAAAACGCTAAGGTAGCTGTGTTCTCATGTCCTATTGATATCATACAGACTGAAACGAAAGGAACTGTTTTGATCAAGTCTGCCGATGAGTTAATGAACTTCTCAGCTGGTGAAGAAAATCTTTTGGAAGCACAAATCAAAGCTTTAGCCGATGCTGGCATTAAAGTTGTTGTGTGCGGCGGCAAAGTCGGTGATATGGCACTACATTTCCTTAATAAATACAAACTTATGGCTGTGCGTTTGAACTCCAAATTTGATTTACGTCGTCTTAGTCGTACAGTAAATGCAACGGTGTTGCCACGCATCACCACACCAACTAACGAAGAGTTGGGTTATTGCGATAAAGTGTGCGTTGAGGAGCTGGGTGGCACAACTGTGGTTGTTTTCAGGTAAACTAAACAGCAAAATTATGTTATGGGTGAAAATATATTAATATTATTGATATTTAATAATTGCAGAAACTCGGGAAAAGATGCACGCATATCTACTGTTGTAATTCGCGGCGCCACCGATAATTTCATGGATGATATTGAGCGCGCTGTTGATGATGGTGTAAATAATTTCAAGTGTCTGACACGTGATGGACGTTATTTGCCTGGTGCCGGTGCCACTGAAATTGAGTTAGCTTCACAATTGGCAGTTTACGCTGACACATTACCCGGTCTGGAGCAATATGCTGTACGTAAATTTGCTACCGCTTTAGAGGTATTCCCTAAAGCTTTAGCTGAAAACAGCGGCGTGAACGGCACTGATGTTGTGAATGCATTGTACTTGGCACACAAAAAGTCAACCGGTCAAAATATTGGTTTCAACATTGAAACCGAGAAAGCAGACACAATCGACGTGACCACAAAGCAAATCTTCGATCTGTTTCAAGCGAAATATTGGGGTCTCAAATATGCCGTGGGTGCAGCTACGACAATTCTAAAGGTTGATCAAATTATAATGGCAAAACGTGCGGGAGGACCAAAACCACGACAGAATGCCGACAGCGATGACGAAAGCTAGAGTGTTATCGTTTAAAGTGGCGTTGGTTTATATTTGCATTAACTTCCTATGTATTACCATATTTCTCATTAAAAAGTAATTTACTAAGTTATCTGCTACTTACAAATATTTGACATAACGTATGTAATTTTATGAACAAAATAATACGATATTACGCAAATTGGTCAACCAAAATAAAATCTTAATTTAACAGTACTCTTTTTTTTCATGTATTATAAATAACAAAAACGTTATGTGCAAGGCGCTTTGGATCAGCAATAAAGTTGGCAGACAAACTCATGCAGAAAATCTAAATTGTTTACTTTTGCTTTATTAAAATATTTAAAAAAGTAGGTATGCTGTGCTGCAAAAAAGCAAGGAATACACATTTTTCAGTCCGATATTTGAACAGATTTTTTCAATACCGGACGCGACTCCAAAACTGCTTAGTCATCGCACGAGTACTGTTTACATTTTCCAGGTTTTCTAAATGTCCATATAACTACAAATCAGCTGTATAATTAGAAATTAAATCCACTCTTTCATAAAGAAGAAATAAATACACTTATGTATGGGTTCCACTAGGTAACACATCTAAATTTTATTTGAATCCAAGCAAACGAATATTCATTGATATTTTGTTGTGAATGTGGTGTTTCTGTTGCTATTGGAAATTCATTCAGTTATGTTACGAATTCCATCATTTTCAACGATTCAATATTAAGTAAATACAAGAAAGTGTTTTCTTATTTAATTTGTTGTTCGAATAAATATTGCGTTAATAATTTGTATATTTGATTTTTTTTGTCTTTCCTGAAAAAAAAAACAACTTGAAGAAATAATTTATGCAAGCTCTAAATGAAGCTGAAATTTAAATTTTTTTGAAGAATAAAAATTCAATTTGAAGAATACATGTATAAGCTTCTTATAATATATATATGTATATATGTGCAGACCTAAGTCAATACAATATGCAATAATTATTTGATTATGTAGTGCTACGATATGGACACTGAATTGTTTAAATTTAAATAAATTTTTATTCGTATTCTTTGGTGGTACTTTCTCTATTATAAATTTTGCGCATCAGGTTTTTTTTTATTTATTTTAATTTTTTTTTTTTCGTATTGTTATAATTAAATTGATAGTATATTTGTAATTTTTATAAGTTTTTTCAACAAGTTGTATTAGTTATATGTATCACCTTGTTATAATATATAAGAATTGAATTGAAGGTCATGCATTTATATGTTGCCCTATATAGTATTATTAAATAAATCATTTGTCTCCTTACGAATTAATATTTATTAATTGAAATATTACTGTATTAGTTACATATCATTTTACGCATCAGGATGTTGTAACTACTTTGATAAATTTTTATATATTTGTATTTTTAACTTAAACGAACGACGTTAATGACATTTAAAGGGATTTCCGGGCATTCACTTTCCTTAGCAATAAATGTCACTGCAGTTTGACAAATGTTGCCGTACCAACGCTAACGGCAGTTGCATTCTTTGTTACACTCGATTTGCATATGCTTAAGTTTAAATTATTTTAATTGCACACCACTTCAGAGCATTAACAGCTTTTTAGTTAATAAAAAAATTTATAGAATTTAAATGTTGTAAAAATAAGAATATTCATTAAAATAAAAATAAGCATTCAATTAAATATTTTTTGAACGTAAACATTTAAAAATTGTTTCGCGCTACTTTCTTATTAGCATTTGCACTTTTGACACCTCTTAAACGGTTTTCCTAACTAAAGTCAGGTTAGCGGTAACCTATTCGTTGCTTTCGAAGAAATATTATCTAACTAGTCACAAAACAACTATTCCTTGCTATCAAACGACAAATATACATACGTCGTAGAGTTTCTACTACCAAACACACACAAATGCTTTTAAATAATGGAAGTATGGGGATATGATGGTTCAGTAAATCGAACCTTTAATTTCGAATTTGTTTCACTTTTTAATTATACGCTATATTTGCGGAAGAAGTATTTGCGACTTTGGCAACAATTAACGGAAACACTTAACACATACACAAACTAACATTTTTACAACACATAATTTTATAAAAATATATAATATGTATACCATTATTATTTTGTTAACTTAAGGTTGCATTGCTTTAAAAATTATATCACAAGTTTTCGTTTTATCCCCTACTTATTTAAATTCATAAAATATATTTATTTAATGTTTATTTTTTGAACTTAAAATATGGAAAAAGCTAGCTAAAATAACGCACCCGAAAACTAGGTAAACAATGGCTTGACATTAAATGGTTGCGTCCATAACGATTTTTAATGGTATTCCACCGGCAATACCCACCTTATACCATGACCATTGTTAACATTTTTTAAACATGCTTCAGTGATATTCAAACTGTATCGTCTTTGATCGCGTGTGAAAAGCATTTGTTTTCGTTACAATTTTTATTTTTTTTTTATTTTATTATTTGTACGCGTAAATTCCGCCATTTTCGTATTGTTTTGCTCTTAAGAGTCCAGTTTTTTGTGCACCCTACTCGTTGCAACTCTAGTTAATAGTAAGAGACTATGCCGTCTATGAATTTGCATAGGAAATCCGCTTTAAATACGCCATATTTGTTGTCGTTCGTACTAAATACTTATATTTTGTTTTTCGTGTGCTGTTTACTTTATATTTGATTAATTTATTTAATAAACTTTTTAATATAGAACTTTTTCTGATAATTTACTGAACTTTAGTTAAGTTTGAATAAAATATTAACTAACTTTTAAGCTTGATAAATATTTTGATAATAATACAATCAAATGTCCGCTAATATTACTAATTTCGTGTAATCATCATAAATATTATATATGTAATATGTAGCATTATTATGCTTTTAGTTTTATAAATCGCGTGCATAGTACGAATATATAGGCTGTAATTAATTACTTTGCCTTTCGTAAATTGTTTAACTGCTTGGATATCCGCGTTTTTTTTTTTTGGTTGAGTATACAACGTTTTTGTTTTTAATAACCGTTTATGTATCGTTAATAAATTGCTTTGCTTTTTAGTGCGCAACCACAAAGAGCGCTTTAACAATAACTTAAGTGTTAATATATATTTTTTCCACTTCGTTTATATGTATATACTACTTGTTGCTAAGTGCCTCCGTGGTATAACTTCTATTTTATATTGTTTATATTTGTAATAAAATATTTGCTTTTGCTTTCCATTGAGTAACGTACATCTCACTCGTACTATTCCCCCCATTTCGTCCGAAAACTGCTCACATTTAGTACATAGATATGTGTGAGTCCAACCTAATAGTATTTGAATCTGTTTTAAGTGCTTACTAAAGTATTTGCTCATCGACAGTGATACATTTGACGAATTTTCGTGTGTTTGAAAACAAAAAAAAAATTTTGTTGTTGGATATTTTGCCAATACATAGGTTAACTTTATTTGTTGTATTTTCCTTTAGCATAGAGTATATAGTATATGTTTTTATAAATTAGTTTACACAGAAATATAAAGAATTATAATTTTTTTAATTATTTTTGTAATGTGTGCAATTGCACTTACTTTTGTATAAGTCTGTATCGTGTAAATGCGAGAGTGTGTAAGTGTGTTTTATACAAGATAACATGGCTTTCCGAAATCTATGTGTAGTATTACATACTGATTTAAGAACTTTTATGGTGGTTCTAATTCTTGGTGGTCTTTAAATTGCTAGTCAAAGATTTCTGTTTGCCACACGTTCGCTCTCGCGGCCTATAATCATATTAAATTTTTGGTTTACAAATTGTAGATAAATATATATATTTGTGTATATAATATGTGTGAATGTGGTCAGAAAGATTAATAGTTTTTAGTATATAATTCACCATCAAATGCGTTTGTATGAGTAGACATCTGAGTATGTATTTACTTGTTTTAGTTATTTGAATTTCATTCTTATTTTAGTTTAATATGTGTACTTAATTGTCCCATAGTACTTGAGATATTGTTCGTATTCAAATTGTACGCGCTCATGTTGTTGTTGTTGTAGCGGCCGAATACGCGTTCATCGCCGCCCTCGCTGTCAAATTTGCATTTCCTGCTCGCCCTTCTTGGCCGCTACCCCATTCAACATGTTATTACATGTACAATACACACGCACACACGTCCACCCACGTTACAGCAATTAATTTACTGCAAAACTCCAATTTCAAATCCGTAGAAATTTGTTGTACATTCCACGAAAGCTTCGCACCAAACTTATCCTCCTCACCATATATACTCCCCCATGTCAGTATCGGCAATGTTAACGCATTTTCTAGCTTTGCATGGTGAATGTTGTAAATAGTTTATAGCACGGTGCATGACGACTTCTCACGGAAGGGATTAACTTTCTGACTGGAGAATCCAGTCAAAAGATAATCCTCTTGTTCATGCTCCGTGATATATTTGATCATCTGAGCGCAGGACTCAGTGACCGGCTGACGTGCGATGGATGCCTCGCGTCGCAATTGATCGACGACTATACGTTGCTGCTGCAATGAGGATGACATTACGTCCATAACTGCTGTCTCGGATAGGCCTATGGTTGAAAATTCGCACAATATATGTCGTAAAGAATTTGCAAAGTTGTTTGTGTGATTTTAGTTATAAGTGTTGTTGATTTATACGTATGGCGAATGTAAAAAGTGCTTTTTGAATGTATGTGTTTTATAAAGGTGCTGGTAATAAAGTGAAATCTAACTATTTTTGGTAATTTTTTGATGTGGAGATTGGTAGGGTTTTCTTGAAAAGCTGCTGCAAATATGTCCAAAAGAAAGAAAAAATGCAAAATACGTTTGCACAATGAATTAAATTGTTTTTTTTCAAATGGTTTAATGAGATTTTAGTAGACACATTTAATTAAAATTACGCAGGCAGCAGGAAAAACAATTAACAGGCTTAGAGGAAATTGGTTTTATGACAGGATAGAAACGAAAAATATGTTAAAGAAACGGAAGTTATAGATGTGTAGAAATTATAGATTTATTGACGTCTTAGAAATTTATCGATATCTGTATGGTTAAAATTACAGGCAGATGTGGACAACAAATGTACGATAAATTAAATATAATGCTTAAATCGCGTAATGTATTATTCTGATAAATTAGATTGTCAAGGAACACAATATAGATTTTTACACACAATATTAATAACCATTTTTTCCAAAACGAATATGTACATATAGTATATAAACATCAAAGATTATACACATTTTTGTACATATACATATATTTGCTACTGAAATACCATAAACACTAATAATTATAAAATGTGTGCATGAGTCAACTTAAGATATCTGCGGGAATAGATGTTTTTGAAGAATCTTTGGCGTACTTCTACTAAATTTCGTTTAATATTATAACTCAAGAACATACTATTTTTTTATTTAGGCAAATACGACGTTTTGATCAAGTTAAAATATAAATGCATTTAATTACCAAAAAAAAACCGTGGAAATCATTAAAATTAAGTCCAAATTATAAAAATTTCTAAATTTTAATTATTTTTTCCATTTAATCGATTAATTATTCACTTTTCTGCAATATCCCTCAGAAAAGGGTGCAGCCAACTAAGAACTATGTTGGGGATGGTGTTTGAAAATTCGCATTATGGGTTGCAAACCAATTGCTCAACTATTACTTAGGTTTATTAAAAAAATAGTATATTTTCTGTATTATGCGAACTTCGAAATTTTAGTTGTTTAATGATTTATGCATGTTTAACCACAGCTATACACTCCAGTCTTTCTATAGATTCCCTTATGCATGTACATACATTTTTTTATTACTCAAATACCGATTATATGCACACATTTTACTTATTTCACAACACAATTTTTTATTAGGAATAGTACGTTAAGTAACTAAATTAGTTAGTAATTTACCAGCTCTTTAGCAAAATTTGTTCTACTGTGTTTTTGCTGTAAAAATGTAAAAGTAATAAAAAATTAAGACGATACACACCCTAGAAACGTTTGCCTTTGACAGCAATTCTTGCTAACTTCTTTCTTTTTATGTATTTAGCATTTTGTTTTGCTCGCAGAAAGGGAAAGCAATATACGATTTTCTACTAGACAAAAGTTATAGCTTTAAGTAATGTGTCAAACTGAGACAGGTAAACATTGCTTTGGATATGTCAAATTCTGTCGATGGTGGCCAGTCTTTCTCGTTGCGATTATGAAGGTCGAAATCGAAAATAATTCAGTTCGTAAAAATTGTAAATTTAAACAAATTCTATAGTAAAGGAAAATTAATATGGGACCTTGGATTTGTGTTCATATAAAAATGTACCATATTTGATTTTTCATTTCTTTAAACCAATTATATTTTGCTTAGACTATTGTGAATTGATCATAAACATTTGCATTTAGGGGTTGATTACAATCAGCTGTTCTATAACTCTTTTAGCCCTTTGTTGCTATCGTGCTCCAAAACAAATGCTAGTCCTACCATGCAAATTGATGTAGCAAAATTTAATTAACACGTTAAAAAACATGAAATTAAAACGTTACATTAATCATTTGTGGTTGCGGCATCGCAATACAGATGAAAATTGGTATACATATTTGTTTTTTGCGGTGCTACGAGTTGTTCTTGTATTTATACCCCAAAAGGGCTATGTACATCCGGATGAGTTTTTCCAATCCGTGGAAGTGATGACTGGTAAGCGCAATAGAATATTTTAAAGAAAAATTCAAAAATAATTTCTTTATTAGGTGATCATTTCCAATTAGAGCACGTACGCACTTGGGAATTTAACAATACTATGCCGGTACGTAGCATAACGTTGCAGTTTGTACTTTTACGTGTTCCCTGGAGTTTTATTGAATTCGTCGCTTTATACATGCGTCACTATTGGGATATAGAATTATTACAAAGTTACACCTACTTAGTTTTTCCACGTTTCATAATGTGTGCGCTGTCTTTTATCAACGATTGGAGCATGTACCGCATATGTCGATTATTCAGCTTAAACTATGAAATACGTCTGCTGGCGCTAGGCAGTTCTTGGGTTATGTTAATTTTCAGCACACGCACATTTTCCAACACCATAGAATTGGCTTTGTGCTCACTATTGCTCGCACTTGTGGCCGAATGCATGATAAAAACCAACACTATTATTTACAAGAAAGAAATGCTGGAAGAACGTTACGACAATGCAAAATCTATAAGTGAACGTGTTAGAATGTGGCGACTGTGTAAATCCCTACCAGCACACAACTACTCTCATACAGTGCTTGTGGCCAGCATTTGTGTTGCGGGTGTCTTCAATAGGCCCACATTTATAGTGTATGGTGCACCAATGGTATTTTATTGGATGCTTCGTGGCATGGGTACGAAAACGATAACTTTTCGAGATTTTAATTTTCGTATGCTGTTGTTCTGCCTAAGCGCTCTACCAGCACTTGTATTCTTCATAATTTGCGATTCATTTTATTACAAATACTTAACGGTTGGCGAGCTGCAAATGTTGCAATTGAGCATTAACAATTTCGTTAGTACACCTTGGAACTTTATTAAATATAATTTAGATGCGAAAAACACCGCCGAGCATGGCATACACCCGAAATATGTACACTTTTTGGTTAATATACCACTGCTGTACAACGTACTCGGTATTGTGACTATTGTATCGTTTGCGTATCTTTTATTTCGCTTTCTGCGCGCTGAGTACCAGGGTTTGCCGCGTGCGCAGAGCATTATTAGTTTAATGACTAGCGCAATATTTGTGCCACTAATTTCTTTATCACTTATTAATCATCAGGAGCCACGTTTTCTTTTGCCACTACTTTTTCCTATCGTACTGTTACACGCGCCCAAACTTTACCATGGTCTTTGTCCAAACTACCCTTTCAAGGAGGAACATCCGTTACTGCGCAAAATTTACAATATGCTGCTTTGTCCTCAAGCATCGGCACGGCCATTAATGAAAACCTGGTACATGTGCAATATAGGGCTTGCCATCTTTTTTGGGTTCCTTCATCAAGCCGGTATATTTCCACTCACACAACATTTTGAGACGATCATGCAAAACAAATCACCCGCGCAGCATATACATCTCGTTACTTCGCACATCTACAATGTACCATTGACTTTTATCAATATTCCTAGCGCACAAGTGATGCATTTAAATCGCGAAACTGGGCGGCGCTACCGGCGACACAAAGATTTCTACATCTACGAATATGGTAGTCTGGACATGCCACATCTGTTGGGAAAAATTAAGCTTATCCTGTCATATTGCGAAAATAAATACGTGGCAAAACAACAGCAGTACGGCCTCTATTTAGCTTTGCCCACTTCACTAAGTGACAGCATGCTCGCAGAATTCCAAACGCTTGGCGCTACCACAAATATTCGCACTCAACTAAAACATATTTTTTACCCACATATATCGACAGAAGCGCTACCACGCTTTCATTTTAAACAACATTCTTCTAAAGCAACTGCCGACTCCATGTTAAGCTACAGTTATGTAAGCAAACAGTTGTTATCCTTCGTTCGTGAATTCGGATTAGTGCTATACGAGGTGCAACCTGCAAGCAATAGTCAGTCGGATAAGCTGCATACCGTTAAGATGTCCAAACGGAAAATTTAAGTGCTTTGAACAAAAACGACATCAAAATTTAACTAATATACTGAAAGACACTCATTCTAGTCATGAACTACATATGTACAGGCGTATGAATGTATTGCTTAGATTTAACATTCCACTGTATTATTTGTAAAGTATTTTTCTTAATAAAAATAAATATTTATATGTAAATAAAAAAAACGTCTTGACAGTTTGATAATCATTAAGGAATTCACTTCCATTTTTAATGGAATTTCCGCTATTCACATTCCAGGATTCGGTACATTTACAGTTATTTGAAAGCTTGCTATAAACGCGTTCTATAAACGCGTTTTTTATTCGAATTATGTAGCGTAGATACAAAATACGACTGCTAATGTACCAAATAATAAAAATTAATGCAAACGCGTATACAATTTTTTGAGCTTATTAATAAAACGAAGAGTTGTATAAATCTTAAGAAAGAAACTGTTAAAAAAAAAAGATCACAATGAAATACTTATTGTTGTTGAAAATATTAACGAGGACGATTCTGAACAATAATAGGTGTTTAATATAAAAATTAAATAGTAAAAATTATGAACGAAAACCAGAATGTATAAATAATACTTGAAAATATAAAAAAGCTATAGCAGATAAATAGATCTTAAATTGCATATACGCCGTAAACCTTTACAATTAAAATATTATCTTTAATAGATAATACTACTTTCGCCGTGAACACATTTTCTTTTACAGAAAATATACCAAATAGAACTTTCTATTCCATTATCGAGGTGTTTAGTAAATGTTCTTCTTTAGCGCTCGGGCTGCTACCAGATATCTCCGACAATTGATCTAGTATTTCTATAGAAACAAAATTTTAAATGCATTCATTTGTGTTAATTGTGTACTTTTCATACCCGAAATTTGCAAACTGGCCGAGTTTTGCAAATAAAAATTACAAACTTTCTGTGTCTCTGCGGATTTTTGACGTTTAAACATCACTGTACGCAAACTTTCTTCTGTAAAACAGTATTCAGATAAATACATAATTATAAAAAAAAAAATCATTTATGAAAAAATACCTACTCCTACGCATACTGCTGCCGGCGCCACTACAGCCAGCGCTACTTCTGCGACACTGCCTGAATTGACTTTGCCCGCCATCGTTTAATTTTGCGTGCGATAACGCTTGATCATTTTGAAACAATGGACATTTAGAATAATTAGCACGCATAGAATCGGTTGCCGCACGCCTACGTGGCGTAAATTCATCGGTTTCATTGCGATACAATATGCTGCAAATGCTCGGTTCTATACTATCTAGTATATATTGCGATGCATTCAAGTCAATTGTTTGTACACCAGTGGCAGTGTTTGGAATAACTGTTAGGTTTCCATCAACTCTTTTGACTGACACATTTTCGCTGGGCTCAAGCGCATCAACGAAACGACGCAAAATAGCACGCAATATTTTAAAACGTTTCATTATACGCACATGATTCACCTGATCGGCACATACTGAAATGGCACGACACTCATTTAACATTAATTTGTATTTCTGGAGAAGTTCTAGTGCGTTGTTTTTAAATGTTGGAGATTGTTGCAGTTTTTTTTTGTTGGCAGAATATTGAAAATATTGGAAGAGAAATTCGCCCATTTGCACCAAGTCATCCAACTTTGATTTGTTAAATTGTTTTTCTGTGGCAGCAAGGCATGAGTTAAACAATTCGTAAAAGCATCTGGTGATCGGCTGTGCATCGACAATTTCATATAAAACTGTTTTGAACTTATTTATTTCCTCATAAAAATGTTGCTCAAGTATTTCGGTATGCATATCGGTGCCATTGTATGCTTTCAATGAGGGTATAATGCATGAATCCAGTGCTTCCAGCGATGCCATACAACTGCGCACCAATGTTTTTACTGTAATTTGGAAAGATTAATTTATATGAGATATTTGACTTTATATATGTATCTATGGTAAGCACTTTACATTTGGGCTTTAAGCAGTCACTAACAGCAAAGTGTCCAATTTGTGCCAACCTATCTAAATTTACATCAAAATCGGCTATGAATTCGTCCAACTCGGTGTCGTCTGCTCTTGTTTGACGCAACTTAGCGCGCAGTTTATCTAATGAAAACTTTTCTAAATCTGCGAAACAAAGAAATATCAAACGCAAAACAGTGCCATCAATGTACTGATGCAATTGTGTTAATGACGTTCCCAGTGCGATAGCCTTTATTCTGCGATGCCAATTATTAGTGCGAATGAGTTTCAAATTGTTTTCACATTCGCGTTGAAATGCTGTACTTTCTCGCAAGACCTATAGGAATAAATTAGTAATTAAACCATTTGTTTTTTTGATAATAAGCACAATTTACCTTTTGACATAATGCGCTTATTGCTGTTTTATCCTGAATCAATGCCACATTTGCTAGCGCAAGTGCATGGCTGATCATTAAACGCACGGCCTGGTAGATGTCTTGACTGGTCTCTAGTGCCTAATTTATATGAGAATTTTATCTAATTATGAACCATGCAATTAAAAAAATTTACTAATGATTTCAAATAAATAAAAACTTACATCTTCAAGTTGATTTAGTTCATCGGTGTCAGTGTTCATATCTTCCTGATACGTACTATACTCTTTTATGTGATCCATTGCTATATCTAACAAGGTGATAAATCCATAGCCAGACATTTGTGATTTATTTTCGGTAGCATTGGATAAATTACTAAAACTTTTTTCTAATTTATCGAAGCACAACATTATGCGATCAATAAAATGTTTTCTCGAATTCTGTTTGGAGATTAGATAATTGTAATTAAAATCATTACTGGATACTTTACTTTACATACGGGTATTGCATTGCGAGCAGTATCCTCCGCTCGTATAATTCGTTCCAGATATTTTGTACATAAGCAAACTTGAGCCAAACAAAGGAAAATGTTATCCATTATTTCGTTTCCCTCAAGATCATCTTCTTTTATTTCGCTAGTGATAAATTTATGCAAGTGGTTGGTAAAAATGTAAAAATCACCACAGAAATTCTGCAAAAGATGTAATTAACAGGATATGTAGTTGAGGCATTTACATTCGTGTCTTACATTTAACCACTCTATGCGGGTGTTCATATCGCTGGAACCTAAATATATTATTTCTCGACATTTTTTTAAATGCGTTCTCAGCACTTGTAGTTCTACCGATGTCATAATAAAATTTTTAATCGGTTTTTAGTTTTAAATATTTTGCTGATATAATTAGATTTTTTTCAAAGTTCCGTTGACTATTCAAAACTGATTTTGTTTTTTATCTTCTTCGCATAAAAAATAAAGTCACAATTGGTTAAAGTCTTCTACTATTCACAAATGCGCGAGATTAAATGGAGCTTTCTTAAATTCAAAATCAGTTGTAAAATATTTATAATATTTCGCAGTTATCTAAACAGACATTTATATGATAAGATTTATCATATGTTTATAATAGTTTGATATAAGAATATTCGAACATTCATTCGAACATACAAAATGTTCACATCAAATCTTAATTTATCTGTATAATTTTGAATACATAGAATGTTTTCGCCCTATTGACGTTTATGATTTTGCCTCCTGGCATTGACAATCAACTTTTCGCTCAATTTCGCCGTCATTCGACGTTTTTCTTTCGGTAATGTCACAGGAGAATATTTTTTATTTTTTGATTGGCACAGGAGTTATTTCAATTGCAGCATATTCCAAATCTACACAAAATTGTTATTTTATTCAATAATTTGCTAATATATAAACAAATGCAGCAAACATAATAGTGTAAATTAAAGTGAAAAGTGTAGTACAAGTGGTCATATTGATCGTCAAACAAGACCTTTTACAAGTGTGTGTTCAACATAGTGAAGTGGAAAAATGAGTTCAACTGCTAGCCGCAAGGAAAATGAAAGGACAAAATTAATACAGGAAAAATGCCAAACTCTGCTAACTCAGATGCTTCGCGATGAGGACAATAAATATTGCGTTGATTGTGATGCAAAAGGTAAGAATTGTATATAAAAATATAGATAGGGCACTCGGGGGGACAATATCATGTCATAGTGGGATACCAACAAGCAAAACCATAAAATCGACAGTAACCACCCAAAATATGCCAATCCTTAAATTTTAATGCCAGGTAAGGTGGGTGCAGTCACTAACATTTTGTGTCAGTAATATTTACAATGTTTTCATATTAATACTCATTTGGCAGCAATGCAAAGAGAGACCATTTTTACTGAATAAAAACTTATTCATAAGATACGTGACGACCAAATTTAGAGCTATTTCAATTTGAGATTGAATAATCGAAAGATTGCGGCAAAAAATATATTCCATAGTTGCAATGTGCGAACCCCTTACGTTTCCTAATGCCGCTGTCACTGATATTCATATCGTTGTTGGATTAATGTTGATAGGTTACGTGTCTATGAGTGTACCCGTAAATTTAATGTGTTAATTTTTCTCGTATATAAATACTCTGTCAAATTTTCTATTGACATGAGGAAAAATGTCGTTAAATCGCGATAAAAGTTTTTGCCTTAACAATTTTTTTATTACCATTTCCCATTGTCAGCTAAAAACTGCTAAAAATCAATACAAGCAAAATATACTTTTTTTTTAATAAAATTTTTTTTTATATAAGTATTCTGTTGTGATAAGTATTTTTGTTTCGAAAACAGATCCTTTCTCCTTTACTCGCAACCAATATTTAATCGAAATTACTTTACATACATAGCTAGTTATGAGTCAGAGTTTAAATATCTATTTATTGACTAAATGTGAAGATCACACGGGAATATGAGCGCGAGAGAATAGAGTAACATTTCGATAAAGCATCTTTTACAATTTTATTAAAAAAAACGCGATGCACTAACCACGCAGACAGTTTGTTGTTGTCAAGCACTGTTAAACTGATAAGCAATTTGTGGTGTTTACGTTTGTTGATATACATATAAAGCAGTATTGCTAACAATTATTTACTCAATAATAATATGCACATTTTTAGGTCCGCGCTGGGCATCATGGAATCTGGGTATATTCTTGTGCATACGCTGCGCCGGTATACATCGCAATCTTGGCGTACACA